CCCACCAGTCGGATGAGGCAGAAAGCCAGTTCAGCCACTACCCACTTGAGGACACTGTCTGGTTGATTCGATTGCAAACCAATCTTGTTCGTGCTCGTACAGGCTTTGCTTGCCTTTATAAAGTGCGCTGCTAGCATACGGCAATACACTTCCATTCTGCCGCCCTTGCTGTTGAGATCTCCTTTGTGGATTCGATCGAGGCGTCCAGGGACGGCGAACATCGCGCCTTACAAAAGCAGTTTTATTCTTTCAGTTACAACTAAAATTTCCAGGGTTATTTTCAGCTATAGTCAAATTTTGTGGTTGCAGGCCTGCGATTTATTGCATTTGTCACTTGAACACCCGTAGATTGGTGTGTTCTGATATGTTTTCTCCGAATGTTTGGTACGAAGACAAATCCTGAGGCGTTGTGCAGATTGGAGTGAACAGGGCGGGAGGGGTGAAAACACTATCACGCTAATGCACGAAACTAACGGTGCATTGTTTCGGGTAGCAGCTAATGTAAAGACCTGTTTACAAATCTTTCTGCTTGAAATGCTGTTACCAAATGACTTTGGCAGTCCGCTAACGGGGACTTGTTTACGTTGGACTGGTCTGTGTAAGGGGTGGGGTTATCCTTGTGGTCTCGTGTCAGACGGCGTGCTATGGGTTTGCAGGCCGTCATTGCGAACAAGCCGTCGGTGGTCCTTCTTATTTATATTTTGGCCAACAAAAACATTAACTGTGATATGCCGCTTTCTGACGAGTACTGCCCACCACTTGGAATATAGTAAACTGTAACCTGCCCGTTTGTAACTGCCGATGTCACTGAAACGCGCAATCTCTCCTCTCATTAAAGCAATGATGAAAGAAAGTTTATATGTTTCTTTTATCTCACGAATGGAAGCGGCTGTTCACATCCCAGGTATGTGTACGAATAAAAAAGAAGGAGGCCCTTCGGTCGCCGGGATCATGGTTTCATCCATCTGAGCTTTTAAACGCTCACTGGAGTCCATGTTCAAAGATAAAAGCGTCAACGAAAAAAAAAAACCAGTAATATTTATATGGAGCAGGGGCCCATCAACCACCAGTTACGTCAGTCCGGAGATGTCTGCAGAGTAGTATATGTGCCGGCGCTGGAGGGATAAATCGACTGACTGAGTTCTCATCTGAAGCCCAGGCTTCAATCGATTCTCAGCCAGTCTTGCTACCCGCGTAGACGATTATCTTCGCGGATTAAAGGTCAAACTCGTGTCCCGTCACCCCGACGCATGCTTGGTTCGCGCATTGGCGAGCACAAGTTGGCTGTAAGATGGAGTGACGTATTATCACACCTACGAGACAGGTCTCGAGTTTAAGGTCACAGCCGTTTTTTTGACGCTTTTACCTCGGACGCTGCACTCCAGTAGGAGTTTGAAAGCATGATTCCGGTGATCCAAGTGCCTTGTTCATCTTTACTTTCTTTTATGTAGCATCCTATCAGTTTCCATTTGGGGTCGACTTAGCCGGAGGTATGAAGACCATAAACACGGAAGAGCTACTTACCCAACTAGTCCGGGCGAGCCGAGAGTTGCAAAGCTTGTCACCTGAAGGCCAACTGACTTTGCATACTCCACCAGATCTTGGTTCATAAAGTGGAGGTGCAGTTCCACTTGAAGCATCTGCGGTCGGATACGACAGATCTTCAGAATCCGTCCAATTTGCGAACGATTGAAGTTGGCCAGACCAATGGACTTAACGAGTCCAGCATCCACCAACTTCTCCATTTCCTAATTATAAATGGGAGAATGCCTCATATGTATAAGATTGCAGATAACGGTGTAACGGCAAAGACAAGAAAGACTTAAATGGCCATTGCTGGCTTTTTGGCACTAATCAGCCAGAAATATTGTTCATGGTATGTTGTATAGTAAAAAGATACAAAAGTATTATCTCCTTTAGATGTCTGCTAACAGATAACGCCTTAACACGCGTAGTGAAAAGGTATACCTGTTCGTGTTAAGAACCTTTTTTTCGTCAGTTCACGAATAAATTTGAATCCGATCGGCAGTTACACCTGCATTGAGGAATTCCGAACTAAAAGATTGATACTTTCGACATAACGCAAATAATAATCGTCTCTATACTAGTCGGTAAACGACATCTAGGGCTGAAAACATTGTTCGATGAATGCATGCTGTTTTATAATTTGAAAGAACCGTTAATAAAATGACAGTTACGAGGCACGGCACTATACCCTTCTTTCGAGTATAAATTAAATGATTTGATAAACAGAAAAAGTCCTCCAAGAAAACCTGTCTTTGTGCATGTTTTTTGTAAAAAAACCATTTCAGTTTACAAGGGCATCGAAAATCGAGGAAAACAAGCATGCTACTTAGATTATCATTTTTGTGTGAAACTTTTGCGGGCAACCGCACAGATGCGTCTTTAAAATATGACACCCTAGCGTGATTGAAATACCTACAGGTGATGCTGCAAGATAGTCAGTATGGAAAAAACGCATTTGAGGATTAAGGTTAAAATTTCTTCAGATCCTCCAGTTACTGTGCATCCTGTATATGGAACAAAGTATTTACTGGTACTGGGCGTATTTGAGAAACCAAATCTGTTTTTTTTTCACGTGAGACAGCAAAAAGTAGAGAGACTAGAATGGCTGTTTTGGGTTAATTAACTGGCATCATCTATTCATATTTCACCCCAGGTTTGGTAACTCCCGAGTCTCGAACCGACGACCTACTTCAAAGCTGCAAATGGAAAAAGCAAACTTGTGGGAAAAGCCATGGGAATTTCCATAGAAGAAAACAACTCGTGCGTGTATGTGAGAGAGAAAAAAGATATCACCACCCTCCGAACACTAACTTAATTAAATAATTACAAAGTTTTGTCTTATTGATTTTAGTTAATCGCATTGACTCACCTTCCAAGTGTCCTCCAAAGGCGTTGGGTCCACGCCCTGTGCATAACGGAAGTCTCGCAGAAAATCCCCCTCGTTGTACTGCAGTGACGATGGAATAAGGCAGTGAGATTGAAGACCAAATAGTGAACATTTAAAAAGAAGAAGGAATATTGCAAGTCAAGTGCAATAGCGACACCTAGTTCCGCATACATCGGTCTACAGCTACCATTCGCAACATTGTCATGAAAAGCAAGGACAGATTGAATCCCAATAAGCATTCAGGTGTAGTATCTTATGCCTAAGGTGTCCTTTTAATTACATAGGTCAGACTGAACGCATGCCCGGATCGCGCGTACACCAGCTTAAGCTGGCTGTGCAATGGGGTTCCGGATCATGACAAGTGACTGTTCAGACATACGAAGCAGATCATGAGTTTTACTTCGCAACCACGAGGGTAATCGTCAAGGCCAGAAGCCTGATAGGCCGCGAATTGATTGAAGCCTGGACCTCCGATGATAACTCAGACAATCGATACATAGATCGGGTGCCAGCAAATAGAGCCCTGAGCAGACACCTTCAGACTGGCGTTACTGATGTTTGATTGCCCAAAATATCCTCGAAGTGTAGCCTCCTACTGTTGTTGTTACTATTCCGGGCGATGGATTCCTGTGCATTTTCGAAAGTTCGGATGGACAAAGAAATAATTCTGGCGATCGGATAATTTTTTTTCCCCAAGAAGAATTATCGCGAACCACGTTTGCGGCATAACGTTCGACTATTATAGACACTTAAAGATGTCTCCCTCTTAGCTATGCTAGCTTAGTTAAGACGAAGATGGGGGTGTATGGCCAAAAGTGAACAGATCACATCGCCAGAGAAGTCATAAATTGATTGATCTTAAAGTTCTAACAAACGAACGACGGCTGATCAATAAAATCGATTAATCAATAAATGCCGACGGAGAGTTCTCGTAATTAGCCAAATAAAGCTTGCGATAAGAGTAGGTGTTCACGCGCAATCCATAACATTAAGTTCTTGGTTTACAGCACGAAGGTAGGGCAACGAACAGAGGCAAAAACAAATCTCTTTCAAAACAGTAAAATTTTGAAATATATGTAGAATATTAGGAGGTTTGGCAGATTTGCTTAATTTGAGTTGACCCAGTTGTGAAAAAACTCGAGGCGTTTG